GGTGTTTCAGAAACAAGCATCTAAATATATTTTTAGAAATGGAATTATTTACATTTATTTTTTGATTCCTCCCTCAAATCTATATTGAAGTTTAACTTCTCTAAATAACGTCATTTGTATTTCAACTGTGGCATTTCAAGAAATCCAAAATATTTATCTTAACAAAATAAACTATTAAATTGTCAGACTGGGTTGTTCAGTTACAATGTACTTGTGTCATAAACACAACTACACACATGTGCAGCTGCTCTCTGTTCTCTCTCCCTCTTTTTATTGTCTTGACTGGTTCTCTCAGGAAGGCAGGGCACATACACCCACCTCCTGCACTACATCTTTGAAAATTAATTGGTGAAAAATGATAGAATTAATTAAGCAATATATTTAAGTGAACTCACACAAGATTTTATAATATTCTTTGAACTTCCATCAGCATTAATTGATGTGATTTTTAACTTTCTAGCTACATATAATCAGTAATCAAGATATGACCCTCCTTTCTTTTTCTCACATCAATTAACAAAACACGGTCCCTGACCACAAATGCTATCTTCCTATAGATAGAAATCTCTTCTACAATCTCAATTTTTTATTTATTTTATTTTAGAAATATTATTTGCAGGCAATGTACTGTCAGTGTCCACTATTGATTTCAATGTATTGCTGTACTCTTCATGTTCTTGGTTATAAGGACACAAAAATGTAGTTTGATAAAGAAATCAAGAAGAGGTTGTATTCCTTTACTGAATCATCACAAATTAAAGTAATCGTATTAAAAATGTTGGCACTTAATGACACATAACATGAAATTTGGTGAAGCTTTATTGGGAACCTTTCTTCTCGGCCATAAGTCAGTCGAAAAGGTGATATTTTTGTTGTCACGTGAGGTTTAGAGAAAGTTGCTCCAGGAAATTCATCACAATTCCTCTGGGTTCTGTCCACCACCTTCTGGAATGCTCTGTAAAAACAGTGACTGATTGGTCTAATACCCTGAAATTAGCGATTGAACCTAATTTCTTGAAGAGCTAACTGAGCAGAGTCTGAGGGGAGGCACATCACATGGCATTGCTAGGACTACTGTTTGTTTTAAATGTGATGCGTTAGGAACATTTTCAATGTAATAATTCAGTTTTGAAGATTTATTCACAATATGCCATTCATGGCAGTGTGCCCTAAATTTACCTTCATTATTTGAAAATAAATACCCTGAAATTATCTTGTGATGGATTCATTTGTGGTTTTATCCAGTCTGCTGGTGTCTAGGTGGCATGAGCTGCTGAAGCTATGTGTTTTTCCTAGTTTTTAACTCAGGGACATTTTAATTTAAAAATTGATAATTTTCCCCTAAAATTTCCTTCAGAAATCTCTGCGTTCCTTTCCCTATTTCTCACTGAATTATGTGTAATTACTGTGGTTTCTTATCCAATCTTATTGTGTTATTACATAGGAAAATATGTTGGCAAATAGGTTAATATACAACATGGTTTTTAGAATCATAGAATCATAGAATATCAGGGTTGGAAGGGACCTCAGGAGGTCATCTAGTCCAACCCCCTGCTCAAAGCAGGACCAATCCCCAACTAAATCATCCCAGCCAGGGCTTTGTCAAGCCTGACCTTAAAAACCTCTAAGGAAGGAGATTCCACCACCTCCCTAGGTAACCCATTCCAGTTCTTCCTCATAAGTCATGTGTTCCAGCCCCCTAATCATTTTTGTTGCTCTCCGCTGGACTCTTTCCAATTTTTCCACATCCTTCTTGTAGTGTGGGGCCCAAAACTGGACACAGTAGCCCAGATGGGCCTCACCAATGTTGAATAAAGGGGAATGATCACATCCCTTGATCTGCTGGCAATGCCCCTACTTATACAGCCCAAAATGCCATTAGCCTTCTTGGCAACAAGGGCACACTGTCGGCCCATATCCAGCTTCTCGTCCACTGTAACCCCTAGGTCCTTTTCTGCAGAACTGCTGCCTAGCCATTCAGTCCCTAGTCTGTAGCAGTGCATGGGATTCTTCCGTCCTAAGTGCAGGACTCTGCACTTGTCCTTGTTGAACCTCATTAGGTTTCTTTTGGCCCAATCCTCTAATTTGTCTAGGTTCCTATGTATCCTATCCCTACCCTCCAGCGTATCTACCACTCCTCCCAGTTTAGCGTCATCTGAAAACTTGCTGAGAGTGCAGTCCACTGTGCAGTTTACTATCTGACAAGATATAAAAATGTGTTGTCACTCGCAATTTGCAGCATGAAGTGTCATGAAGAGATTGCAGGTAATGTTCATTTTTTAAATTTCTAACTATGAAAGGGCTCCCCCATCAGTTCCTGCAACCCCTGGCTGGCAGACCTCTGTGTGAATTAAGCAGCAGGCAGTCAGACAGGAACCTCCACCAAGTGTCTTTATGACTTTTTATGGTGCATCACAACATAGCAGCAGTTACGAGGAGCCTCCTTCCTGCTCCCTGGTTCAGACGTTTATACTGCTGCTTTCTTCTCAGCGCTGAGCTAGTGACCTCATCAGGGCTCCCTACAGGTGCCAGTGATCCCCTCTGCCCTTCCAAACCCAAACTGCTCAGTCCCTCCTACTTTAAATGCACCCAGGCAGGGCCGGTGCAAGGAATTTTCACGCTGTAGGGATATTAAAGAAGGTACTAACAGTGATTCCCCCAAGTGACAGTGACCCCCCAATAATTTGTCCCCCACACTTTAAAATCCAACAGTTTCACCAAATACAAAAATCACTTGGGTCTTCTGTTAAAACTTGTAAGCTACTGTCTGTAGAAACCATTTATTGTATCTGCCCTGTGAAAGATACTTTATCACTATGTAAAACTTACAAACAAGTTAATTGACTTTGTTCTTGAAGTAATTGATACAATGTAAACAAACGCTATAATCCATTAAGTGACTTTCACTTCATTGTAACAGCAAGG